CATAGTAAGTAAATTAGGTTTGACAGGTAAAATTGGTGGAAAGGCCCTTTAATCTTTATCTATTCTGGATTCAGAGAGTTCATTTCCAGCATGAGCTTCCCGACAACTACTCCTCTGTTATGCACTGAGCAGTTCCATAAGAACAAATAGAGGTTCAGTTCCTTACTCAAGGGCGCCTTGACATTGGTTTTTCCAGGGAGGGTAAAGACTTATTTGGTCACTTACAGCTCCATGATGGTTTCAGGATTCAACCTTTAGATCCCAAGCCAGTTTCTCTAACCTCCATGGCCCTTTCACTACAAACGGAGTAAAGATGCTTTCATCAGACTCCCCTTGGAGATGAAAGCCGCCGCTGTTACTCTTTTTGTAACTGTGATTACCTTGATTTGACATCAGGTACCACAACTGGACAGGCTGGCAGCGGTAGGCAATTGTCAGCCCTTCAGAACACTAAGCTCTGGTTCTGTGTGCAAACTAAATTGTCCAACATTTAGAGATGGCCATTTTTAGCTTGCCCTGACCTTCCCATCTCACATCTCAACTGACAAAGTGGGGCTGCATTGCACTCAGCCAATCTCACAAACAGATTGGGCCGCAGGCTTTCAACAAACCCTGAAAATAAAGATGGAAAAATCTAATGCCAATGTCTACAACATTAATAACTCCTCGTCCTAGCAGACACAAATAGAAAGAACAGGCTGACTGCAGGCAGAGAATGGGTCGGGAACATCAGAATGCTCTTACTTAAGACGAATTATCCTAGCTCTTCCAAAGGAACATTAGCCTTATATGATGGATATTTTCAGTATGTGTAAAAAGAAGCCAAGCTGATCAGAAAACCTCTCTCTGCAGTCCCCCTCTGAGGTCACTACACAGGCCTAATTACACTGCTTCACACAGTGGCCCTCTGTGGCTGGTGTGCAAATACTGCCATCTACTGTTCAGGAAAAACTGGCTGATGCTGTTGAAGCTCAACAGTTTATCTCCAGCAGCACTGACAGGCCCACACAGTTCAGCATCAAGTGTGCACTAAAAACAGCAGCAACAACATTCAGTGTTCAGTTTTCAGGGCCGTGTTGCTCAAGCTGATTTGTTCAAATTAAAAAACATCCGACTAAATTTCTGAGTGATGGCTGATCATGACCAAGAGGTGGCCTTAGAGAGGGTCCTCTGCTGAAGGAACTGTCAGTAAAGTGGGACTCTTCAGTGGCAACTGCAGGACTACAATCATGTCTCCTCAAAAAACATCCTCACTCAAGCACTGATGCTGTGGTTACTTCATCTCAGAGGTCAGGAATTTCTTGACTTTCATGCAACCCAACATTATTGAGAAATAGTTGTTTACATCTGGCAATGTCAGTCATGGAAAGCTCTGAGCTTGGAATTCAGGATGTTCAGTTGGTAAATTTTCGCCCTCCAAGTGAAATCTAACACAGTCATCTTGTAGTGTCATGTCATGGCTGCATTACAGCATGGTTCTCAACTTGTCACAATTATGGCTCCCCATCAACCAACCAACCAACCAACCAACCGTCCATCCACTATGCCCACTTTATCCTGGATAGGGTCACAGGGGTGTGGAGCCTAACCCAACTGACAATGGACGTTTGTGTTTATTCAAGTTAATTGCCAGTACAGTTGTGTTGACAATGTGTGATGTGATATTAACAGTAACCTCACCCTTTAAAACTGGCTCCATTTGCCAAATATGGGTTTTCATTCATTCTTGTTGTTTCAGATTCACCAGTCAATATAAATACAATCACATTTTTTAAGTAATGTGCAGCAAATGTAGGGACCATAAACGTTAGTAAGAACACATTCCTGATGTATGTGACCATTCAGTTGTATTTCTACTCAATCCGTTGTGTTTTAACTTTTGACTTTATAATGTTGGGTGGGCATTGTGGTCATACCTTTCCAAAAATATTTCCTCTTTGGTAGAAAATGCATGTCCTCTCCCTCTGTGTGGTAAAACAGCCATGTGCTGGTCACTCCTACCTGCGTTCACTTTTTCTCTCAAAGCTAAGAAAAGGCAGCATTCCTACAAGAGTGAAAACATGGCTCCAGAGGTCTCTTAAGAAATCAGCAGCTGAGGAAGCAGCTGCATACCTTCCATATTTTTAAGGAGTATAGGGACATGAAATTTGCACAAAATGCAAAAATCTAACTATCAAATGTGATCAAAAAGTACCTGATTACCAAATGGAATGAAACTGCAAAAACACAACACAGGATCGATTATTATTTGCCTCCGAAATAAAGGTACACAGCAGCCACATATCTTGGCATTCCCATTGATAAAACACTGCAGAGAACACAATAACTATATACGGATTCTGTGGCAAAGCTTAGCAAACAGAAACAAACATGGCTACCATTAGAAGATAGGTTGTGGTCCTACAATGAGTTGAGACAGAGCATCACTTCTTCACTTAGTGCACCAAATACCTTGAAATGAGATGGTGAACATAATGAGTGTCTAAATCCTGGAGACGCCACACAGCAACAGATGTACATTCATTAAAAAAAACAACTATAATACATGAAATATCTTAGTGCCATGGGCATCACTCTAGTCTGAGCAAATACACTAATATACAAATATTCTCCAAGCTGAAATGGCAGTTGTCCTGGGGCTTCCAGAGCACAGTGCCATGCATAAAACAGCACCAGGAGAGATGGGCACCGTCTGGCTGTCAGTCTGCAGCGAGCGGATGGGCTTACCTCAAGGCCTTAGGCACGCTGGTCTATGACTTCCTGGCCATGTGACATCCAGCAGCCTCCTCTCTCCTTCCAGCAGCTCCGGGCTCTGGACGTCAGTCTGCTTGGCCACCTGGTCTATAGCAAGCCATTTTAACGTTTAATAGCCGAAGTGGATATGTATTGCAGACATCCGTAATTCAATTCTTCCTAGTCAAAATGAACATCTCAGATATCCATGTCAATCTCCCTCGGACAAATGACGCCACTTTTGCCGTTTGTGTGTGTTGGGCTTTCAGTTGCAGATATCCACAATTTCCTTTCTGATGTTCATCCTGGGTATCTGTAATAGAATTCACTCCCAAAAACTTCCTTTTCAGATATCTACAATTTAATTGTTACTTTTCATAATTTAATGTCAGATGTCCAAAATGCATGTAATATAATTTAGAAAATCCAAAATACATGGTGGGTAGTAAAAGTGTCGTTTCAGATTTACGCTGACAAGCAGATAGTGTGCTGCTATAACATAAAAGTGTTCAGTGACTATCAACGGTTATATTTAGGACATCCATAGTCCATAATAGTATTTGTCCAAGTCAAAATTACACTCATAGAAATCTGAATGGTATTTAAAGGCATCCAAACCGTATTTTTAAAACATATCTCCAACTTTTATTGTATTACCCAGAATTCATAGACATCTACGTTCTCTATAGCCGCTCTTATACGCTTGTCAGCCACAACAATAAAACCACCTGCCTAATACTGTGTAGGTCCTCCTTGTGCCACTAAAGCAGCCCTGACCTGTCAGGACACGGAGACAGGACCTCTGGAGGTGTCCTCTGGTGTCTGGCACCAGGATACAACAGATCCTTTGGGTTCTGTAAGATGCAAAACGGGGCTTCTGTGGACCGGGCTTGTTCCCTCTCATCCCACAGATGCTAAATCAGATTAGGATCTGTGGAGTTTGGAGGCCCGTCAACGCCTCAAGGTCTTTGTAATGTTCCAAGATGATCAGCCTTATTCACATCACTGGTCGGCTGTTTTAACGCTGAGGCAGATTGGTGTAAATAATCAGTCTCTCTCTAAGACTTTGCTGTTTCATTAAGAATGTTACAGATATCCACATATGGAATCGTAGAGAGGATATGATAACTGAGAAGTTCAGATTGGCACCATATGGGTGCAAATGCCATCATTACCCAACACCATTTACTGTCTGCCTGTTCTGCTCAGATGTAATGAAGGAAAAAAAGCCCCAAAAAACCTTTAAAAAAGAAATTGCGGATATCTGAAACTGGAAGCTCAACACACAAGTGGCAAAAAGTGAAGTGATTTTGTCCTTGCAAGAATATGATTAAGCATATCTGGAATATTCACTTTGACTAGGAAGAATTAAATTACAGATATCTGCAACGCATATCCTTTATAGCTCTTAAATGTTAAAACGGCCACTTGCACTATTTAAGTATTTTTATATCTCTTTTGACCAGTGCAATCAAAGCCACAGATATCTTTAAATACAGTTTCTAGTAGCAAGAATGTGACTGTGTATATCTTAAATTACCATACTGACTGGTGAGAGCGGGAGCAGCAATAATGCTGTATATGAATAATGAACAGAATTGTGTCAGAATCACACAGGGATAATAATAACCTAATGTTCCATATCAGTATGGTTAAAACCAGAAGTCATAACAGGGAGCAGCTGAGTGAAGCTGGATAAAAAAAAAAATGAAATAATAAAATATAAAGTCAGTGTTATAATGAAAAGATTAGTCCCCTGCAGTGGTAGCAGTTCAACGTCTAATCGCTGACTGTGGTGAGTTTGGGAGACGAGCGCAACGTATTCTAAATATATACATTTGTAATGAAACATGCAGTCTGTTTCCATTATGAGACTTGATATAACCAGGATGAGAGCTCTTACTTAAAGTGATTGCTGTAGCTTCCTTTTTCAAAAGCGCAGTAGAACTTCAACACCTTGAAAGTTGAACGCAATGAGTGATACTAGTCCGAACAATGACGAGAGTTTGTCAAGCTGTGATCACTAATGTGACACGTCTCCTCTAGAGGCCTGCTGATGGTGGATTTGGTGCCCGAGGGAGGGCACTGCTGGTAGACGTAACATGATTGGAGCCCCTACTTTAATACTTTGATCAGGACTAAAGAGCTGCTTCGGTTTAGGTGTAGCTTTATAGAAAGATTTGTGAACTCAAAACGCCAACATTTAGAGCAAACTTAGATGTTTCACACTCGCCGCTGTAGATATCACCTGTCTTGGATTCACAATATGAATGAAAAAAAAACAGTTTATTTATATCATGAAACATTACATATCTTAATGAATGAAAGGACATTTTAATGAACATGACAGATAAGCGACAAACTTTCTGGCCCTCATAAATATTGCTCTGGAAGTCCGTGTCCCTGGCGTGAGTTTAGGTGTCACACAGCGAGGATGAAACGGTCGACCTTCATCATGTACGCTGGCTTCAGGTACTGCTGCAGCTCGCTCTTCTTCACCCACAGCAAAGGAGCGTTTGGGGCTTTAGGGGGAGCACTGTCTGACAGAATGGCTTTGAAGAAGAACACCTTTGTCCCGACTGAGCTCTCCGTCCGAACAGCTTTGGGCAGTTTGTACTTGTACACTCCGCAGGGGGCGTTGCCGAGGAAAGTCGCCTTGAAACCAGCTGCAGCAGGTGAGAGAACAGGCAAGCGCGTTCATTCAGGTGGAGACAAAAGATGAATGAAAGTGAATTTGTTCTTAACTTTATGCAGCGTTTTCTGAAGCTGTATTTTGGTAGATTCTTCTGGATTACCAGTGTCTGACTGCTCTAATTAAAGCGTTATATCACCCTCATGCTCAGTTTTTCATCCTCTGCTGCGACAACAACACACTTTTTAATCTTGTCTCATGTCATGTAAATCCCCACGGTCCCAGCTGGCTCAACATGCAGCGTGACGCACCAACACGACCATGTTAGAGATTCAGTTCCCACTGAGTCCAGCTATATTAAAAATGGATCAACTCCCGCTCCTGTAAGACACTTTAAATAAAACCCTCCACCAAATGGGGCACGTTAATGTCAAGTGGAAAGTCTTAATGAGGAGTGATTGATGGAGTTGGCACATTATTAGTTCATGAGCAACGCTGTGAAATGGTTTAACAAAGTCCGTCAGTGGACTTTTATTTTAATGCTTTAAGACTTCGACGCTTCATTCAGCTGCATGCGAAGAATCTTCTCAGCTCCACAGTTAATATCTTTAATGTGAGGGATCATTTCTGGGTCACCGGAAACATTTGTGCCATCAAATGCCAGCTTCGACCTCTGACCCTCAACTTTTTTCCAACCATCTGCGTGTTATTTCCAGTCTATGAAATTGAGCCTAATCAGCTGATATAAGTGAAGGTTTAAGTGGAAATGACAGCTTCGGGCCAACTACTGGAAAATGATTGGTCTAAAATGCTGTAAATGAGTTGGTAGACGGTGGTTAAAGAGGGTATTTAACCCTCTTGTTGTGCATAATATAGATGATTGTACTTTAAGTGCTACGGTGCTATTTTAGAGATGATCACATCAAACTTTAATGATCCTTAGGATAAAACTGGGTCATTTCAACAACAGAGATTAGCATATGGATACAGTAAGGATCCAGCAAATGGAGCGTGTGGACGATAATGAAACCTGTAGCAAGTTGAGATTCGAGATATGAATAGTGCCTTAAATACTGACCAGTGGTTTTGACAGCCCCACTCGCTCTTTTGTTTACTCTGTTAAATCTCCGTTCACACCATCTTCCTATCCAGCTGTCAGAGGCCATGATTTCAGAAGTTCTGAGCTGATAAAAAATGATTTGCAAACAGCAGCAAATGCTTGTTTTTTTTGCCACTCAGGCTACATACAGGCTGCCCTCAGCCTAGAGATGGTCAAAGTACCCACATTTGTAGCCCTGTATGTTCACCCACTGCCAGTTAGGAAACGTGTGTGTCCCATCCATCCATCCATCCATCCATCCATCCATGCATTTTTGTTTTTTAAACAATGATTTCCATTATTTTTAACATTTTGACACAAGAAAAAAATACAAATAGTTTAAGGATTTTGTACCTGTGTTTAAAAAAAAAGAAGAAAATGCATGTATTAGGGTCGAAGTGTGGGTGTTTGGACACACTGATTGGATTGTGTCATATGAAGCCAGAAGGTAATATTGAATAGTTAATATTATCACTAAAACATGCAACAACTGGCCATAAACTAAAGAACCGGAAATATACATCTTATTTATTCTAATATTTAATAATCATAGACAGTTAATATTAACCACAGTGATGATGATAATAATAATATTGAGAAGAAGAAGAAGAATCTCTGCCTTAGTTGGTGTCTTTGATCTTGACTCCCTGCTATGCTTTTAAATTAATAAACTGCAAGATCAATCTCTTTACATATCAATGCCATGCTTTTGTTACAGGATTCCAATACTGACTCCGATTGATGCTATCAAAAAAGAAAATGTGACTTTATACTGCCAAAGTATAAGTTTAGAAAATTCTAAACATAAATACTTTAAATACTTCCACTAAACCACAGTTACTGAAAAATAGCACTATTTTATATGCGTTTTCTAACTTTCCATGAAGTAATTCAAACATTACATTTAAAGCTGTAACCACTAATCGGTTAGAAAACTACCTGTCAATGATTTTAACTGTTGTTTTTGTCTTTTATTAAGCAAAACTGCCATCATAGATGGTCAACGCTGTGTTGTTCAAGTTTAACATGCAGTTTGCCTGAGTTCATTTTTGGAAAGTGTGTTTGCCTTTAAAAAGTGACGTTACCTGGCAGGGAGGCGAGGGCTCTCTCAGCCGTCTGACGCAGGGTTTCTCCCTCCTGCCACTGAGTCTGAGGCAGCAGCCACAGCTTCTCGTCACCCACCTGCTGCTCAGCCAAGAGAACCAGCAAGTCGGCCAGGCAGCGCTGTGCTGAGGTCAAGTCCTCATCTACGTCGGCTAAACCGGAGACACGACACACAACTGTCAGCTGCTTCACAACAGCACTTTCTGTGTCTGCAAAATTTACACAAACCTTTAAAATGTCACAGGGAGTAAAATGCAAATTGAGAGTTCTGGAGCAAATAGATTATCTGAACATAAAAAAGAAAAGCAAATGCATTGAAGTCTCTTCTCTTCCAAGAAATCTCATTTAAACACAGCTCTATCAGACTCCTTGAGATAATCTGGTTTTCTTTTCCATTTTTTTTTACTTGATTGATCATTGAAGCAAGACAAAAGGTTGAATATTACAACATACACATATAATCCCACACGTTTCATTGGGCATATTGGATTACTTGAGTGTGTTTTCATATTGTTCAGATTGTTTCATATTGTCTTCAAATTGCAGTTTTTCCAATTCATCCAAAAACCTTGTCCACTTCCTAAACTGACCTCTGGCCCTTGGCGCTGGTTGGAAGCGGTGCAGCTTCTGCTCCCAAGCATCTTCCAAGTCCTGACCCAACAGGATGTCCTGCTTGCCGTGGTCCTCCTCTTCGTCTGAATCATAGTCCGCTGACTGCTTCCGCCTCAATCTCTCTGCGTCATCCAGCAGCCGCAGCTCGTGGTCCGACATCACGCTTTTCTCCATCTCCATCTGAAATCAATTCAGAGAGGCTTTCTGTCTCAAAGGACATTTTTCAATCTGAAAATTGCTGTTAAGTGTCATCTGGTTGTTGTGGCGCAGCAATATGGCTGACAGCAACCACTTATCTCTCAGCAAACCCAGTGGAACATTTTACTAGAGCTGGTGTCTCAATTACAACAATGAATTATTTTAGCACAATTGAACTGCCTAAAGACATTATACCACTGTTTAAACAAGCTGTGTGCTCAAAGTGCTCTGCCAATTGATGGAAATTCTCTTCATTTTTTCAGGTGTAACACTGAATACTGTCACCTTATTGGCAGTTTCAACAGTACTGCTGCAGCAAATGGCCCCGTATTACACCTGACACACTGTAAGCTACACTGTCTGAGAAAGGCCAAAGATGCAGTCAGTACACGTTTGGTTTAAATTGATTTAAGACAGCAATGTGGCGGTCAGATTTGTTATGGTACCATAAATACTACAGCACTTAGACCTCTGCAGATACCATACCACAACATCTGGATTTTTCAAAGAGAAAAAAAAAACTGACTGGAAACATTGACAAAAACTAGCAATCAGGTCAAAACCAAACTGCAGCGACTGCTCTCCAGCGAGCTAAACCTGGGAAGGTAGATTTAGCTAAACCTAGTTTACCTCCTTTGTCTTCTTCTTTGGAATTAAAAAAATCTGTTTGCTGCTCTGTTATCTTTGCAACAACACATAAACAAGTCAAAAACTAAATACTACTTCTTTAATGTATGAATAAAAGTACCAAAATTAGTCATTTTCAAAGGTAACTAGCTAAAAGCTAACTAGCCTAGTTCAAATGAGCAGTTTCTGACTCCAGTGAGGTTATGTTGCCTCTACATCACATACTTTTATTAATTAATCAATCAATAATTTAATAAACTATCTCATTGGTACAAATGGACAAAAAGAAGAAGAAACAAGAATAGAATTTGTTTGTGAGTAATGCATGTTTTTTTTTTCCCCTGCACACATTTGACGCTTTAAAATTAAAGTGCCATCCTAAAAAGAAAAAGTTTACACCTTATATGTTTTCCATTTTGGCTAAGAGCTGCCACCCTTTTTGCCTCAACTTTGTCGGGTGATCTTTGAAATGTGTGCCTCGTTCATAGGAAGGGTGCACTGATAACAACGGAGCCAAGCAGTGGTCTGGGGTGGCCGCCACACTGAAGTCTACCCACCCACACTATCAATAGGGAAGCTCATTAGAGGGCTACACAAGTACACAGAACCAGAGTGACATCCAGTAACTACTAGTTTTTGTGGTAGAACCTTTTTTTCAGAACCATTTGTCTATTGGTCACTGTTGCTATACGTAAGCATTTAACCAACACAGACACCATCCACTCAACCAGGTAGTACTGACCAAGCAGAAAATGTTTACACTGACTTTGTAGCAACTCACAGTTCTGGTATTATTATTTACAGGTGTGCAGCCTGTATAACATGTATCTGTTTTTATATGTAAAATAGGGATTGTTTATGTGTTTACTAATTAATATATTTAAAAATGTATGTCTAGCCCTTGTACAGACTTTTAAAGGCTGCAGAGATCAAACTGCTGAATAAAGTCGAGACCAACCCAGAACCTGCAGGCAAAAGAAAAAGAAAAAGAAAAAGAAAAGGGTGGATGGACACAGTTTGATGCTCAACTGGGTGGATGTTCTGAGCAGAACATGGACACTTCTGCCTTCAGAACTGTACATGTGCTGTTGTAATATAATTTAAATTGTAATTGTCTTGATGAGCTTCATCACCAATTAAAAAACACAACTGTAATAACAGTTGCATAAAGAGGTACTGTGAAGAGCCTCATGTTCTCCTACATGTCAACCCTGGCTCCATCACTGGTGTCCAGCACAGGTGAGAATATGTATTCCAATATTCTGTCAGGTCACAGATTTCTGTTTGTATTTCATCCTTTCCTTTAAAATGATCACCATGGTTTGCAGCTCTCCACGACACAAGTTTCATGCCATACAAACCCACCTGGAGCAGCATGTTTTTGAACTCCTGCTCAATCGGACTGCCGTCCGCTGTAATCACCGGCAGCCTCTGCAGACACACCGCGGCCATCAGAGTCCACGGAGAACTCGCTCTTTCCGTCACATTCTTGACCTGCAAAGTCGCTCGACAAACAGAAGCAGTAGAAAACTGACGGAACCCCGTGTTCCCGACTGCTGTCCTGCTAAAACAAGTCAGAAACTGGAAGAGAGGCCGACTCGCCATCCTTCTGCAGGGCGCAGCCATTTTCTTGTGCTACATTAACGTACATGCGAAAAATTGTTACACCAGCCGCTTCACATGACACAGCATGGAACGGGGATTTTCAACGCCATTCCCAACTCAAATATAAAACAGGAAGATTACATCTAGGAAATTAGGAAAATGTTCTTTTTAATTCCTATGAAGCATGAAGGAGATATGTTATTAAATGATGATTCTTAAGCAAGCATTCACAGTGGAATTGTCATATATTCGAGGGGTTGGGCGGTATTTGAAAGCAGCATTTAGCAACATCTACCCACAATCCTGTGCAAGAAAACGACCGACCTATTCTGGTAAAAGTCGGGGGGTGTAATATTAATACACTTTAAAACATCGGACATAAATGCAACAGTTTTCACATCATAAAAATTAATTGCACTTTTTAAAATCTAAAACTTAAATTTTCTTTTAATTTACAGTTGGAGTTTGTGTATGTTACAGTAATAATAATGTTGATTCGACCTTGCTACCCCTTAACGCATTATTGGTCTGTTCCTGACAAGCAACACCTTCAATGTCACGCTTGCTGTGTGTAAACTTGTTCAGTTTCTGACTGCAAGTGTGTAAATAATTATATGTAACATGTATAAACTCAGTTTTATGTTAGTTAGTTCAGTAAGTGCTGTATGTCGACAACTGCCTGCCTCTCTGAATACGAACGGAATCTCTCTGTAAGTGTGTTACGGTTTACTGACGTTCTTGTTAGCTAACGGCTAATTCATCTGTTGTAACGTGAAGCTCGCTGTTATGCTACTTAATGTCCAGATAAAACAATATTAAAAAGCTAGAATATCGTATTAGCTAATAGACAAACCAGGCTGGTTTATGAAATGTCTGCTGATAAATGTGTTCGTGTGTTTGCAAGTGGAAGCAGTGGGCTGCAAAGAACATTATGTAGCAGTGCTGTCAGAGATCAAGAGAGAGCAGCATCCAAACAGGATGGGAAGCGCTTCAGGTCAGACAGCACCACTCACCTACTTGTACATATCATATTTTACTATCCACTGATAGAGTGAGTGTGTATCTGTTTTATTTCTATTGTTGCTTTCATCCACTTACAAGATGCATTATTAATCTTGGTTTTAATCCTTCAGCATTTTCCCTCCCCTGCCTGGTCAGGACAGTGCTCTGAGATGGGGTGGGAAGAAGTATGAAGAGTTACCCATCCTTCACATTAAAGCCACGTACAACAAGTAAGTGTAAACTGCACAGGTGAGGATAAAGCAAACTCTTAAATGTGATTATTATGACAACATCTGTGAGTGTTACTTGGTTACAGTTATGCTTCATACAACAGAAATGTAAACACAGCATGCCAACGACCTTCTGACACGGTGCTAAACATGACACGGGAAAGATAAGAACGAGTTGTCAGCTGGATGCAGCATGTTAGTTAGGGCTGTAGCCAGGCACTTGAATGTCCACAAGTCAATCACTTGTCCCCTGAGAAATCGTTTGAGATCATATGGTACGATCCCCACATGGTGCTGTGGATGGACTTGTCCAACAATGTGATCCTTTTCTCCAAAAAGAGAAATATATTAGAAAGACTGAAAAACATTCCACAAGCAGCAGTGGCAGCCCCATTAATTCTACACGTCACAGAGGTGTGACTTGTTATTTTGACACTCAAAAAAATAAAGGGAACATTAAAATAACACATCCGAGATCTCAATGAATGAAATATTCCAGTTGAAAAACTTTATTCATTACATAGTGGAATGCGTTGAGAACAAAATAAAATAAAAATGATCAATGGAAATCCAAGTTATAATCCCATTAGGTCTGGATTTGGAATCATACTCAAAATATAAGTGGAAAATCACATTACAGGCTGATCCAACTTCAGTGGAAATTCCTCAAGACAAGTCAAGATGAGCCTCAGTCGTGTGCCCATGGAGGGCTTTACGGCTCTCCAAAGAAATGCCTCCCCACACCATCACTGACCCACCACCAAACCGGTCATACTGGAGGATGTTGCAGGCAGCAGACCGTTCTCCACGGCGTCTCCAGACTGTCACATGTGCTCAGTGTGAACCTGCTCTCATCCATGAAGAGCACAGGGCGCCAATGGCCAGTCTGCCAATCTTGGTGTTCTCTGGCAAATGCCAATCTCCCTGCATGGTGTTGAGCTGTAAGTACAAGCCCCACTTGTGGATGTCAGGCCCCCATACCACCTCATGGAGTCTGTTTCTGACAGTTTGAGCAGAAACATGCATATTAGTGGCCTGCTGGAGGTCATTCTGCAGCTCTGGCAGTGCTCCTCCTGGTCCTCCTGCACAAAGGAGGAGGTAGCAGTCCTGCTGCTGGGTTGTTGCCCTCCTACAGCCCCCTCCACGTCTCCTGGTGTACTGGCCTGTCTCCTGGTATCTCCTCCATGCTCTGGACACTGTGCTGAGAGACACAGCAAACCTTCTTGCCACAGCTTTTATTGATGTGCCATCCTGGATGAGCTGCACTACCTGAGCAACTTGTGTGGGTTGTAGACACGCCTCATGCTACCTCTAGGGCTGAGAGCACTGACAAAATGCAAAAGTGACCAAAACATCAGCCACAAAGGATGAGAACAGAGACATGGTCTGTGGTCACCACTTACAGAACCACTCCTTTATAGGGGTTGTCCTGCTAACTGCCTCTCATTTCCATCTGTTGTCTGCTCCATTTGCACAACAGCAGGTGAAATTGATTGACAATCAGTGTTGCTTCCTAACTGGACAGGTTGATTTCTCAGAAGTGTGATTGACTTGGAGTTACATTGTGTTGTTTAGGTGTTCCCTTTATTTTTTTGAGCAGTGTAGTTTATGACCACACTCCTGATCATCCCGTTACCATTTCCAATAAAGTGTATACTTGATTGTTTCATAACACCGATGCTGTAATAAAGATTCCGTGTGTTGGAAGAGCAAATTGCTATTCCTCCATGTTAAACAGAATGGATATCATTTAATTAAATATTACATGCTTCCTTTATATTTTTGTCAAGTACAAGATCATTCAAGATCTGTTCATGTTCTGTTATTATTATGGTTATACCTATGTCTAATTTTAGTCACATGTCATATGGTTCTGGTTGTATTAAGGAGCTGTGAAACCTGCTCTGGGAGAGCAGATTGGAACTTCCATCTGTTATTTCAAGTAGGGACAGATGAAAGTAATCAAACAGAGGACAGAAAGTGAAATTTAATTTTCTGCCATCGTTTATAGTTGTTATTAATTAACCATGAAAAAATAAATAGCTGCAGCTAAACGACACATTTTTCATATGAATACATTCGGCTGATGGAGTTCTGTGGCTGCAGAGTTGGACAGTAACTGATTTGTGGGAAGCTGGCACAAATAACAGAGTCTGTCAGATTTTCTTTAGCTAGGTAGCAGAATTGCATTTGTCCTCAAAGTGAAACATTTGTGTAACTGTTGAAAACGCCAACCAGTTATGGGCATTATGGGCAGTAACCCAGTACACTGCTCTTTCCTGTAACAGCACACACATCCAGCTAACAGACCACGCGGGTCAGACGATGGTAAGGACGTCCTGCGGCACAGAAGGCTTCAAGAATATCAAGAAGTCGACGCCCGTCGCTGCTCAGACTGCAGGCATCTCTGCTGCAGTGGTAAGTTCTCCACAACACGTTACTGTGACGCTTCCTGTCAGATAGCAGGGCCACTGTCTTGTTCAGCAACACAGGACGACTGCAACTAAAGGTCTCCCTAACAGCCAGGCCTTGTTATCTCTGCAGAGTGTTGTTGCAATTAAAGTAAAATTTGTCAAGACTCTACAGCCGCTGTGTAGTAACACTTAATTCATGAATATTAAATGTTTGTTGTAAATAAACTGCCTTCTCTAAGGACTTTGACCGAGTGGAGCAGTTGGCATTAAAAAGCTAATTTAGACTTTGTAGGCTGCTGGCTAACAGAGTTAAGGTCACACAGTTGTTTTCTTAGCAGTAAACACAGCAGAGAAATCAAGTTTTATCACAGCGCTACACTGGTCTTGTATACTAGACACGCTGACAGTGAGATTCTGACCAATGATCTGTTTTCAGATGTTGTAGTTTTGGCTGCAGCTGAAAATCAAAGGTGGCAACAACCTTAATAGGAGCTTTATCTCTTGTTTTGTTGGTGGTTGAAGACTGGAAATCTGTAAAAGTGATGCTAGAATAGAATAGAATAAAACTTTATTGATCCCTTTGGTGTAAACCTCAGGGAAATTGTTAGAATTAAATTAAAAAGTTCAATTGTTATTGCTGGTTAAATTCTCGGTCGAGAAGGTCTAAACATCTGATAAATAAGAAGGCTGCAGCTAGCAATTGATTGAATTATCTAGTCATCAGATGCTTTTCTTTTTTAACAACTGCTTATAAATTTTTGATTATGTCAGATTTTTCTGAACTTTATCTTTTGTGTGTTTAATTTCCTGAACAGAAAGCCACAGGGAAGGGAGTCACGTTTGTCCGTGTTATGGTCAAAGGTCTCGGTCCTGGACGTCTGGTGAGTAGTTAGTGTATCTAATCTCCACAAGTCTGTATTGTCGTTGCTGTTACCACTCCAGTGTTTTATATTTCTTGTTTATTTCTGCAGCTTACTATTAAGTCCATCGGGGGTTCCCCGTTTTCCAATTACTTGTTCTGCCTAAAATCCAGAGAGATTTAATTAACATTGACTCGAGAGATTAAAGTACTACATTTGAAAATCTGGATCCAGCAAGTTCTTGGCAGTTTTTGCTTGATAAATGACTTGAGGATTGATTGCACAGTAATAAATCGAATGTTTCAGCTCCACTTAAAAATGCCCATTTATTGATAACACTACACTTACTTTTTCTTGGTTATTTCATTTGCAAAATTGCTCCTGTATTTGATTTACAGGCAAGCATACAGCCATTAAAAAATAAGTACATCAATATAAATTGAGTGGAACTGGAAATTGACTTTTTCAACGTATGCAAATGGGCAAACATTTGGTCTTCTTTGAAACAGCGCCTATAGATAAAGGCGATACACTTGAGCTACACCACAAGGAAAATTAGCATTTCCAGCTATTTATTCAACGAATGTACAAAATACATGTAATAGTCTTGTGTGGATGAAGTAAGTACACTTCAGAAGCTAATATTTCCCCCGTAGCAGAAATAACTTGTTCTAGATGTTTGGCATTATTGTCCATCAGTCTCTTATGTTGGCTTGCTTTGTTTTTTTTTAACCAAACTTGCATCCGTTGCAACATTTTTGAGGCTTTTCTTGTGTATTCTGCCCATTTAAAATCCCCCAACAACATTTCAGTGGTACCCAAACCTGGGGTTTGAAGAAGCCCTTCCATCACCTTCCATTTCTTCTTTATGAGTCACTCCTTGGTGAATTTACTTGTGTGCAAAGGACCATTATCCTGTTAAAATGTCTTCAAAACACTTCAACTTCTGGACAGATGGCCTCATTTCATCTCCAAATATGCTTGAATCAGAACTGAGAGTTGAACCGATGACTGTAAGCAAGTCCAGTCCCTGAGGCAGCAAAGCAACTGCAAACCATAACATTTCCATCACCATGTTCTGCTCCAAACTTGTCTACTGTTGCTGTGCTCAAACAACTCTGATGTGTCTGTCCAGATCAAATTATGCCCAAAGAGCAGCTCTTTGCCTGTATGTTCACTGGCAAACTGTAGTTTTGCTCCAATGTCTCTGTTGGATAGTAAAGGCTTTTTCCTGGCATGCCTGCTGGTCAGAACCTTTATCTGACTGTAGACGCAGCACTTTGACATCAACAGTTGAAGAGTTTGTTGAAGAGCTGCTTCTTTTTTTTTTTAATGCTCTAGGGCCAGATTTCCTGGGGCAGTCAGTCACCACCTACAGAGGATTTTCCTGCAGTGGAATCATTAATTCAGATATTCTTTTTAAATTCTTGGCCAGACTATTTGACATCCACAACCTTTTCTTCTGAAGGTCTAAGAGAGCTCTTTAGTTCTCGGCATCATGACACCGTTTCTGGAACCCCTGATTCTAATCTGATGCGTTTGAAGATCAATCATTGTAAGCACATACCTAGTTTTTCCATGTAACTGATCATTTTTTAAAATTTAAAATGTGACAATGACTACAGTTTTATGGCATGAGTATACCACCTTCATAAATAGTGACTGAAAGAGGATCAAATATTTGCCTGTTTAAATACGTTGGAAGAAGTTAATTTCCATGGGATGCAATTATTTTTCCACACGACTGTGTGAAAGGATCAGTGGATATGATGAAAGTGAAACTTGTCGTGTATCTTGTAACGCTGACCTTGTTCTGTATTGATCTAATAGTGGGCGTTCAGCACCAGTAGACCCGTCACTGCTTGAAGAAACAGCCTCTAATTAATTTCACTTTTCATAATGAGGATAATTTAAGGCTGTTTAAGGAGCCAGAGACATCTTGATGCGTTCCCATTAGCTTTCTTAATGAATTAATGTGTTTTTGTCTGTTGTGCAGTCTGCAATCAAAGGCTTGACGATGGGCGGCCTGGAGGTGGTATCGATCACTGACAACACCCCTGTGCCGCACAATGGATGCCGCCCTCGCAAAGCCAGAAGGACGTGATCTCCGAGTGCCAGAGCGCGCGCTGCAACAGGAGAATGCTGTTGTGTTGTAATATGCTAATAAAGTGTTTTCTTGTGTAACTTCGGTGACCTTACATCAAGCATTTTGGGGGAAATAATTACAGACGGGGTTATTAATGAGCAGAGAACAGGTGTCTCAGTCCTCTGCTGCCACTGTTGACACATGAAGAAACCTTCAGTCTCACTGCCGGCACTCAGATGTTCATTAGTAGACTGATGTTTGCACACAGCGCAGAAACAGCTCTGCATGGGAAGAAAGAAAAACAGCTGTTCTCAGCTGGTAGCTACGGGGTTTGAACCCTTGATCGTGGCTTTACGTCACCACTGAACTTGCATGAGCGCCCCGAACATATCTGGAGTGAACACATAAAAGCAAATTCAACTTCTTGTATGAACAAACTTCTCTTTATATATTTCAGCACATCAGACAGCCAAACATCTCCTTAACATATAAATACATCATTGTAAAGCTCTGCAGAAAAAGCTGGCATAGACAGATCAGTCCAGTATAAGAAGTGTTAACATGGAAACAAGCATGCACTAAACCACCATCCAGTCTGTGGAGTACCTTTGTGTTGAACACTGAGACGGACAGACTTCCATTTTGTAGAATTTCTTGTGCATTTTAAAACCTTTTGGATGATCTAATTAAATCATTGACGCTCTAGGTTTTTAACCCTTGAAATGCTGATAAACAGTGAAATTCCAGTTTCAGACTTGTATAGAAACCCTATCACCCCATAAGGGGGCACTCGTTTTAGTGCAAATGTTTGCCACCACTTCCCTTTTTTTTTTTCTATGCAGTCAGTGGCAAAATAAACTAACAGCTGAAATGACTAACAGGGCCACGTGATCGCGTGTTTGAAGTCTTCTCTACACAGAAATCACGGCTCTTTTAGAAATGTATTATAACTGCTTTAACATGGCATATTGACACAGCAATGATATGAGAAAACGGAACTTAAATTGTAGAAATGATAAGTCTAAAATGTTTTTTCATTTAAATGTGGCCCCACATAAACTGGGTACTTTAGTTTAGAGATCATGAGCACCACAGTAACACAACTGAAACGGACTGAATCCACACAGTGCTGTGATGCAAAGACTGCAAATGACGTCTCTCACAATACAGTTGATGATTTGATATTAGCGCCTTTTTACAAACACATGAAGAAAGTTAGCCCTTTACTCATAGCCGCTGTACTGCATCTAAACAGTAGCAGCCATGTTGTAAAACACAATTGCACTTTTATTGTCCTGCTGTTAAGACTGGCTCCTCCCAGAGGTCTACCACGTAAGAGCTCAACAACGCAATCAGCACACTAAACATCTGACGTAGTCCATTTAACGCAGTACAAGCCAGAGATGTCGATGAGGCTTTCTATCGCTTTGCTGCGTTAACAAGGCAGCTGCAATATCCACACTGAAAGACAGTCATTTCGCTCTCAGAGGTAAAAGTGCTTCAGACAACGCCATCATAAATTCATCTGCTACTGGCATTGAGTTCAAAAGAAATTTCCAAAAAGCAGATGAATACATCTTGCATATGAACTAAGCAAATAATTAAAAGAACAAAATCTCTTATTTTCCAACAACATAAATTACAGACAACTTGAGAACAAAATAAATCGCATTAGATTTCCGACTCCTCTCCAAACGTAATCACTACAAACATTTTTAATTACAACTGGGAGGAAGATTGACTAAAGTGATCATGTAGTGCAATTTATTAAAATCTACTATTATAACCACAGAGTATGACGACATCGTGCAATGCTACTAGATGATGTCCTCTAATCCAATAACTTGTTTTAGATTTCTGTACACCTCCAGATCTATGAGGTGCTCAGTGTATGGGACCACCCTGATTTCACACACATTAGAAAGTGTTACTAGAAACACGCTGAATAAATAGGTGTGGACTTCATCACTACTTCAGGAGACAGCGAGAGTGATTGCTTATTGTCTTGCCTATCCCAGACGTGCATTCCGCAAAACTTATATGATCCTTAAGAAACGCTCTCTCATCTTGCCTGGACTACTGTGTATGAACAGCAAAATGACAACAAACCTGATTTGATTTGAGAGTGTGAGGAACTTAACTTTCATCTTTCTCTTAACTGAGCTTTACTTTTCATACCTGCACTGCTGCTGTGTCTTTGAATGACAAACTAAATCCCTCCCAGCTCCAGACCTGCTGCTTTAACCTCAGAAGAGGCCAGGAGAGAGAAATGACTCTAAGATGTATATAAATGCACCTGTTGCTGCTGATAATTGGTGTTTTTTTTACATGTGCAGAGAAGAAAAAATCTGGAAAGCGTTTGAAATGATGCACAATCAGAAGATAGCTACGAGAATTAACTCGTAATTCATGTAGCTGATGCAACTCAGAACTGATATAAAAAAGTGCAGTACTGAAAATAGAGATTTTATACACACTAGCTATACAAAAATACATAGTTTTATTTGAAATCGGAGTGAAGTTCTTTCTTTACACAAACATCTAAACTCTGGATCAGACAAGCTCAAATCACCAATGTAAGATATCACGGACTCCAAACAAGTCTGGGATTACAGGTCTAGTCGCAGATCTTCTCTCCTATCTTAGTTTCCCTCATCTATAGTTCACCTACCATGAGCCACACATTCAACAAAACATCAGTGAAACTAAACTGGAGCATCAAAAGTGCAACGATGCTTCAAAACGACCACAAAAACATAAATAACAGGTCAGGTTATATTACGGTAAATACATTACCACGAGCTCCACACACGGCAAAAACACAAGAGCAGCTTACAGCTGATGATAAAGACACTATCAAGGGAAAACAAGCTGTTTTGCTTTACTTTGGGGCTTTTGGGAAAGCCTGGGAAGCCTTTTAAACACGACTGAAAGAGGAGTGACTGGCGGCACACACAACACAGGCTTACTAATTATTAATCCAGGCTCCTTAATGCTTTCTGGACCTTTCTGTCTTGTCTGAAAAGGATGTTTTCCTTCATGGTCAGATATAATGTAGTGCGAAGTATAAAGTGTCTGAATTAGACCACATCACTCTTTACATCACATTGCTCATATCCTTTACAGCAGCAAACTTAGAGTTTGTAGAATGACAACAGAGCCAACAACTACACTGACTGTGTAAGCATTTGCACATCAGCGATGACAGTTCTTTGACACTCATCCAGACAGCGGAGTGTGCAGTGCAGTGTGGAAGCTGTACAATGTCTGGAACACTAATGGAGAAGATTGTCGGTCAAAAATCCCATCGTTAAAGTGAACAAAGTGAGAAGTCCTCAACAGCTAGTGTTGATTTTGCCTTGACAAAGGCACTTGACCATGGACTGTCAGTACAGCAGCCATGAGACTGTGTGGACTGTGTTTTAGGGTGAAGCAGGGCGGAGCTGAAAAACAACTGCAGAATCTGATGAGAAAGGAGCTTGTTTCTGATACAACTCAAGCATTTGGTGCCTCTTAAATATTGCACTTTGAAAGAGGGAGATGCAACATGGAAATTAAATATTAGCGAGACAAGGAGTGATTGTGCATACAGCCCTCTCATTAGGAGCGATAACAGGGGAGGAAATGTTGGCACTGCGAGGTAAGAGCAGGAGTGGATTTGGTGAACTGAAGGAGTGTCACGAGGAAGGTTTTCTATTACTCTGCATCACTTCCCCTGGAGGTTGCTGAGCTCCATGTCGTCCTTGCGGCGCTTTTGTTGGGTGAAGAGGGAGCTGAAGGGGTAGAGTTTGGCTTTGGCCGGGTAGCGCTGTCCAGCAATGTCCACCTCGTAGTCCCCACGGTTGATAAAGTCAGGAGTGATGGGTGTGGGAAGCCCCTCGGGGCCTGGAGGTGGAGACACGAAGCCCAGGCAGACGTGGCGCTCCAGAGTGTAGCTGTAGGCGCTGCTGGTGGTCGTCCCAGCCAGCAGACCGTTACGGTAGATGGGCTCACCCCACCACGGCCACAGGTCCAGCTCAGTGTCGTGGTCTTCTAGCACCAGCATGACGAAGCGTCGAGACACACCGTCCTGGCGCTGCTGCAGCAATGACTCACGACCAAGAAAATCGGTGTCCTGATGGAGGGAGGATGAGAAGTCAAAGATGAGGAGTAACAAGAAGCACCAGCTGTGGAGCCTGGGCTTCCACTGGACAGCTTTATGAGGCTGAATACTGAAGCAACAGGAAACCAGTGCTTCTTAATTTCACACATTTTTCTACTAACTCAATAGAGCTAATCGAAAAACAATCTGTGAAGCTAGTGTTAAACTGTTTGCTCATTAATACTGTGCTGACATTATGGCCAGAAGCAGCAGCACACCTGATGTTCCAATGTTCTCAAAGTAAAGTTTACCACGGCTGGTTTACAGTGGCACCTGTTCTGCCTGCAGGTGCAGCCTGGTGACTTCTCCACATGCTGGCAGAGACTACAAGCCAGATGCTGAAGGTTTTGTCAAAGCAGATGGTGTGGTAGATATTATTATCCTACTATTCCGCTCTCATCCTCAAACCAATTTAAAGCAAAAAAGGTAAAGTATACATTTAGACAAAGCATAAAGCATGAAAACGTAACTGACTGGAATATGATGCAACAATACTGTTAAAGTGTTGCTTCACCAAAATCATCGTGCTAAGTCTCCACCCGGTCTGAGGTCAGATTTTATATGGTGGCAAAGCTGAACAGGCAACACACCTTGTCAAATTTGACCCTGAACTCTCGTCCACATTCCAGCGGGGTTGTGAAGGCGTCGAGGTCCTGCCCCCAGAAGGCAAAGAACTTCTCTATGCGTAGGCTCCTCAGTGCGTAGTACCCTGCGTTACGAATGCCGTACTTCTGACCCACCGACATCACTTCATTGTACACGTGCAACGCGTACTGTATGGGATAAGGAACATACTCCTGTTAGACTTCATGTGTTGTACATTACATAACACTTTCTTAACCCTCAAGTATGATATTAAAATCATATTGTTCGTAGTCTACAACAATAACCCACCAAAATCTGTCTTTCTCTTTACTTGTACTTTTTTTCATATTGATAATAATATCTGAGTGTTTACATGGTCTTATCTTGCACGCAGTCTGCTTAAAGAGCAACATCTATTAAACCTACATTAGTAGAGTAATTAGTTACTGCACAAAGCTCCACTGTCATGCAGTTGGGTGAGATGGACAGATGGAGCAGCTCCAGTGTTTTTGTGGGAAGTTTTTTTTTTTTTGTGAAAGTGGTTTTGATTCTGAATTATCTGAATAACCTTTAGGGACCTCTTTTCATTTGCTCGACATTCTCTGGCTTCCTAAATTGTATCTCCTGAAAACTACATACTTCCGCACTTAGCGGAGTAGAGGTAGTTAAGGCAACTGTATGTTACTCCTTCATTAGCCTTGACTTCTCTCAGACTGTTGTGCCATGAATGGCTTAACCATTCTCATGCTCTGTTTCTGCTTCTAAATTACTGGATTTGTGAACGATACAAAAATTGATTCTTCATAACAAGGAACCTCAGTTACACCTTTATTTGCAGAGCAGCTGTTTTTGAGTTACGCAGTCACCACAAGCCTCCAATATTAAAGACAATGCTGTTCTGAAATAAACTAAGCTGCGGCAGGATCATGTCACAGTGACAATAATACAAAAAGACATTGTTCTGCATCACTGTGTCGACGTTTAAGCTCTGGAACAGTGAGACACCCTGAAAATGCCAAAAAGTCCCTATTTTTTTTTTTTTTTTCAATTCAGCATACTGCTAATAAAAATAAAGATTATCTCACACTTAGGTGCTCTTCAAATACATATTTTATAATGTGATACTTTGACACCTAAATATTGTTAAAGGCAAATCGTTAATGAATGTGAAATATGAATTAATGCATTACACAGTGTGTTCCATAGCCCAGAGTTGTTAACAACCTGAGGTATGCATTCTAGGGTTAGGTTTGATATTACCAACCATCCAGTACAATAGTGTATGTGCAGGCTGTACCTCTATTGGGATGTAGAGCATGAAGCCTGGTTCTCCAGTGTGGGTCATACTCATCACTCTGATCCCATTGGCATAGCCCACACTCATCTCCTGTAAATGCACACAAACGTGGTCAGTTACTGCTCTTGGCAATGTGAGGAGAAGGACACACAAAGAACAAAAATCAGCCGTCAACTTTGTTGCAACTAGCCTTTCCTACCTTACAGAACATGGAGGGGAAGTGGTCAGGGGTCATGGAAACATAGGACAGCTCAGCCAGAACATCCATTGCACGTGGTCCAATCAGATTTAAAGCTATGGGTAAAAGATCACAGTCATAACCAAGATAATATTTAAGTATTTTCACCCTGTAGATATCCTAAATAATAGGCCTGGGACATCCTTAGTTGATGTTTTATTTTGGATGTAAAAAGAATGTAGGCCCAGTGTTACTAACATTACACTCACATAAATCACACTTTGGACATGTAATTAATAGACTCCCATCCACCCATTTGGTCCCCCGGTGCCTGATTTTGCAAACACAAAAACCAGGGTACCTAAATAACTGGGTTAATAGCAGACTGGGTGTATCTTCAGTGAATTGCTTCCATTCTTTAATACTGTGTGGACACTAGATGGTGACATCAGTGCAGGAGCTCAGTAGTGGCTCTGTGTGCTTACCCGTGTACTTCCAGCTGACATCCTCTAGATGGAGGTGTGGGTCATTGGGCATGTGTTTCTTTATCCAGGACCAACAGTGGACCTGCTGGTCTGTCGGAGAGACGATGAAGAAGCTGGGGAGCCAATAAAAATGTGCGTTATTTTAAATAGTCGTTATAAACTAAATGTTGACAGTAATATTGTACAGCTGTTTCAAACCTGTTCTTGCTGAGGCGGACCACACTGCAGTCGTTCTCATAGCCTCCCCTCTCATTCAGCATGCCGGTGTGGACGATGTGTCCAACAGGAACATCCAGGTCATTGGCACACAGGTGTTGCAGCACTTCCAAAGACTGGTCCCCTGTTGACTGAGGCATCAGGACAGACCAGAATATTAAATTTAAATCACTTAAACACAGTGGATTATTTACTAATTATTCCTTTAAAATGAAGGAATAAATTACTGCTGGATCAGTGGCTGCCAGATGACAAAGAAATGCATAAAATCAGATCGTTTTTCCATGTTTAAGTCCAAACAGACAAACAATTGATGTCATCACTGACTGGGTGTGACCAGATGAACCTCCCAAGCTTTTAAGTCTGAATCCACAGAGGGCAGTGTTAATTATAAGCTGTTCATAATGCCTTACGACTCACAGTCAGTTCAAACTTGGTGAAGGAGGACATGTCGATGACGCAGACTGCCTCTTTGCAGCATTTCACTTCTGCTCCAACAATGTCGAACCAGTCTGGCTTGTAAAAGGTCTTACTCTGGTCCAGAGACAGCAGATCTGCAAAGATAAACCAATTAAACCAGGTCAGCTGATTTCACTCATTGGATATTTCTCCCCTTTCTTCTGTCAAATCTGGAAATACATCTGGAAATCCCTTGGAACCTTGCCTGTATACATCATTTTACACTTGAAATTTCTGATATTCAACAATAACAAAATAGAGCACAACTTATCAGTGAAATCACCTGCTTGACAAAAGTCATAAAAGCCAGCTTATTCATACTTTTTGGGGGGGAAATCAGAGAGAATCAAGTAACTAATATTGTGTGACAAAAGTGCCAAAACATTTAGTGTTTGAACATAACAGCATTTCACTGATGTGTAGGTTTTCTGTCAGGGGAAGCAATTTATCATAACAGTGGAATAACATACTGTCATGTCTGGATGATGTATTATGAAAACCCGATTTCTCATAAGCTACGATTGCAAATGATTTAAATCGACGACACTACACAGAAGTATGACCCGAGCCTACAATGAATCACAGCTACAGCTACTGACCTTCACTGCACTTGAAAACTGTGTTATTAATGATTTTAATGAAACATTTTTGATTCTTCAGGCTCACTGATGGCTTCAAACAAAAAGAATGTTGTGTTGCTGCTCAGTGATCCATACCTTTTCCTGGAGGAACAAAGTATTTGGGCCTTTCAAAGCCATGTTTCTCCATCCATCGAGCCCCCTGGGTGTCCAGACGGTCATAGAGAGGACTGGTCCTCAGCTGACGCCCGGTCTGAAAGTCCCACCGTGGAACCTTCAGTTCATACAGCAAGGCTGGACAAGGAAACACAAACATTGACAGTACATACACCAGAATAACACTTAAAAAGACACTACGCACCACTGTAAACAGCTGTCACCTGTAGCACATAGGTTTTGAACAACAGTTTTCAGCCGTGCTCTAAATTTTTGCTTTCCAATGCAATTCACCATTTATTAACTATTTACGCACTACACTAAGGCCCAGATGACTGTATAGCATTTGTCTGGTTATGAGTACTAACTGAACACCGAACATATAGTCTGCAAAGAGTTCACAACTCACGCATGACTTCCATCACTCTGTGTCGCAGGAAAGTTCGACTGCTCTGCAGGTTGCCAAAGCGTTTTATGTCCAGTGGCCAGACATTGGCAGTGGGGTAGCCGTAGGACATCCACTCCGCCAGGTACCTGAACACCAAACCACACAACAGGCCATTTGTGCTTCATTGTAATGCAATCAAAGCATGGTAAGTGCTGATCCATTCAAACAATGAATTGTGGCTAAATGATTTTCTGTCAGCCTTCTAAATAATCTACTCAAGTGGAGAACATTTGTTAACATTTATCCTGACGTACACTGCAGACTATCCTCTTACAAAATACACTTTATAGTCACACTTACTTGCCAGCTCCTCCTGCAAAGGCCAGGCCCGAGGAGTTCATCCCTGCAAGCACATAGTAGCCTGACACACCCGGCGTCTCCCCCATCAGACAGCGCATGTCAGGAGTGAAGGACTCTGGACAGTTGACCAACTGATGGATCTCAGCTGACTCGAGACCTGGCATTCTCCTCAGCAGGGCACTGAGCATTGGCTCTGAAAGAAGAAGACAACTGGTTGCTGTACATTCTCTATAAAGAGATGCTCTAAAAGGTACATAGTATCTCCCATCCATGTGTTCCCTTTTTTTAGAGGTTTTTACAAACAAACCACACCATGATCAAGCATGGTCAGTCTTAATATTCAATAAATTTTCAATCCACATTCAACCCATTAATCTCAGTGCTTTCCTCCACAAATTATGCTGCGACTTGGACTCTTGCCATTCACTACAGCCTATTCCATTGCTGAAAAAGAAAAACGCTGGACTTAGCTTTTAATTGCCTTTTGCAAAACCACCACTCACCAAAAGCCTTGTGAAGCAAAAGCTGCACCCTCCTCCTATGTTGTTCCATCAACACACCAGTATGTTATTCCAACATGAAAGCTGACTCAGTAGCAACACCGTAAAAATGTGATGAACTCTACTCTTGGTGATCACTTACTAGTACAGAAATGTAAAACGTAGCAGCTTTAACTGGTTTTCTTGACCCAACAGTTTACCTGTGATTCAACATGATAAAAGGGCAAACTGTTGAGACTTCCCCAGGCCTGCAAAAAATAGTTCTTTCTAATTATTTAGATTATTTTCTTTACTAATTATTTTGCAAATTATTTTCTTGAAGAATAAATTAATTGCTTGCTTTATAAATTGTTAATTTCCCAAAGCCAAGGCGACGTTTTCGAGTGTCTTGTTTTGTCAGACAACACTCAAAAATCTGCAGGAATTCAGTTAAATAAATAAGAAAAAGAGAAACCACAAATCCTCATGTCTGACAAGCTGTAACAAGGGATTTCTTTTCTTCTTCTTTTTTTTTTTAATTTGTTTAATAAATGATAAATTAATAATTACAGATTATTATTCTGTCAGACTGTTGAGAAAAGTAATCCTCAGGCTGATTTATTGACTATCTTTTGCAGCTCTAAAACTAGGAGGTGAACCAGGGTTCAGTCAAATATTTTCTTTCATATGCACGAGGAGGAACACTGTATTCTAATTACAACTTTTGAAATCTAAAATAATGAACGTGTGAAAAATAGCTGGAACTGCAAAGCAACCTGTGACACTTTAGCTTGGCCACGTACGTTTCTGTCATACAGGGTTGCCGGTGACAAGTCTGTCAAGCTGTATGAGAAACTTCCAAGGCCAAAAGACAGGTGTGTATGTGTTTACATGTGTGTATATGTACAGAGAGGTGTGCAATACCATTTGCGTTGGCCAAAAACAGAGTGGCCTAAAAATAGACATGCAAAGTGTTACTAAAACTATGACATTTTAAGATGAACTCTGTAACTGCCGCTACATATTTTATTAGGTCTGCATTATATTACACCTCAATTATAATTTCTGCAGCCATAAAAAAAAAAATAATACGCTTGCAGTGTAAGTGAATTTCTTTTTGGGATGCAACTGCAAATGTTACAATAAATGACTTTCACTTATTTAAGACACTAAACACACATTGTATTTGTGCTACATTATTGACAGCTGAGTGGATCCAGTGATCTGTCTGCCTTATTTTCAACTCGTTTTCCTCTGAGCAATGGCTGACAAGAAGTTTAAAATGGTGATTACACACAGAAAATGACCATTTCAGAGAGACTGACACAAGACTAATATTAGTTTTGATGATCACTATCTTTTTCTCTCTGATCAAATGTGGCTGCCTCAAAAATTTGGCACAGTATAAACTCATTGACTGGGCATTTGGCCAGTTAACATCATGTCGAAATTATTGATCAGCAACAAAATGCCCAGGAAACAACCAACGCATAACAACTGCTTCTTTTAGCAATAATAATTTAAAGCCACCTCTCCTCCCTCTTTCCCATCCCACCCTCCTTTACCAAAGTGATCCCAGTCCTCCTGCATGTTCTGGATCTCGAGCTGGTTGCGGCCCTCAGTGAAGATGGGTTTGGGGTTCTTCTCAAAGCCTCCTGACAGAAGGCCTCCCTGCCACGGCCGTGCATATATCCTGCCGTCCATGTCGATCACCACTACAGATCAGACACAGTCCTAATTAGACCACCTCCTCTGGGCTAGCTAATGACCTCATTTAACATGTACCATGAAGAAGAAACTTTAATAATAAAAAACAATGCTTATTTCAATGCTTTGTGTCAAAAATAGTAACTTCTTCTCAATTATAGACATGATTTGTAGCTGGCAAAATACTTTAGGTGACTGGAGTTAACATCTATTGGAAAAGAAGCTCTGTTCCCTGAGTGTTTGACATGTGAGACCTGGAGCGCTGGGTGAAAGTGGCTCTTGAAGAGGTTTGGTGAGGAGGTAGAAGTGTTCACAGCCATGAAGAGGAACCGACACCTTCGTCTCACTAGCTTGGCCCAGCTCGTAAGCCCACTAAAGTAGAAACAGACAGAGCAAATACATCTATTTGTTGAACCTAGATCATTTGATTGTACTGACATACCACATAAGATGAGCTATTGTAGGTACTTACTATTGTGCAACCCCACTAAACTGACAGCTGTTTCCATTAGAGTCATAGGGAATGGTACACAACTAACTTCCTGTGAGAAACACTGCAGCCTGTCCTGCAGGTCCTCAGCCTGCTTACTCAGATCAGCTTTTACATTAAGTCAACATAGAAATAAAGCTTCTACCTTAGAAATTCTCAGACTTAGGCTGGTACTGGGAATTGCCACAAGTTGTATCACATAATTCCACTCTGGGGTTTACCTGTCCAGCACAGTTGACAAAATATTCACACTCAATGGAGCCACGGTCAGTCTCCACAGCCATGACTTGTCCCTTCTGTACCAGAACCTGCTGAACACTGGTTCGCTCCAGGATCTGAACTCCTGAATAGGGCAAGAAAGACAAGCAGAAAAGGGACGACACAGGGAGGAAATGACAATGAAGAGGGGAATGAGCAACAGTAAAAGCGCTGTCTGTCAAACATTTTGTCTGAAATGGTCTATTAATGGTCTACAAAGCTGAATCGTGAGTTTAAGTTACCTTGTCCAGCAGCAGCCACAGCCAGGGCATGGTTAACTTCAGGCGGAGAAACCACAGCATCCCCAGGGAGGTGGAGCGCCCCCACCAGATCATGAATGTTAATGAGAGGGTGAAGTTTGGCCACCTCTTTAGGTTTAATGATGTTACAGCTGATCCCCATTACCCTAAGAAAGAAGTGAAATGTTAGAGTTTCATCTTTTGATCAGGAAACAGGACCACGCAGTTCAATCAAGTGCAGATTTGACTTTGTACCACAGAAAAACCATCTAGTTAAAGTATACAAATCACTCCTGTTGTTTACATGCTTGTGCAACTCACTGGCGCCATCATTCAGGCACAAAGTTTACAACATTTCTTTCCAGTACCCACACAGACTCTGCCACACTGTAGACATTGCCAAAGGTACGTCTACTAAAGATTAACTTGCGGCCTTACTTGAGTCTTGATGCCAAGCGCTTAAGGGAGATGAAGCGATCCTGATTTTGCGCCAGACACAAAGACCCAGTCTTCACATAACCTGCAACACATACCACAAATACACCAAAACACATATTACTGACTCAGCAGGACTCAAACTAGCCAAGCCTCCTCTGTTCTCAAATTAGGTAGGGGACATTGTCATGATTATTCTAGTTTTGAAAAACACAAAAACATACAATTAGTATTATGCTAAAGAACAACAAATGATCTTGGACTTCAGTAGGAAATGGTTAGTAGTGTACGCGACATGGAAAAGTTTTAGCTGCACTACTGTAAAAATGACTGCATTGAGATGTAGTGCGATTAGTATGCTGGGTTTTAAACACATTTCATACCCTAGGGAGATTAAATTGCAAATGGTAATTAATAGATATAATAAATAAAATAAAAAGTATGTGGTCATATGTGTTTGGGAACTGTGTACAGTAATTTATTAGTAATAAGGATAATAACACAGGTTATGTAATGAACCCTTTTACTTTGTGAATGGTACCAAGTAAATATGAGTAAAGTTATGTCAAAGTGCCTGACCTGTTTTAACCCCCGTCTCCTCTTCCAGCTGCTGGTAAAGACTGTTGGAGTAGTTAGCCATTTGACACTCAATGGAAATAGGTTTGGCCACGCTGACAATGCCGGCACACAGTCTGGTTGTTCCTGCACCAAGTCTGATTGGAATACAGAAGCATTAGCAAAACAATGTGTAATCAAACAGTTCTCCTTAAAAATCTACTACAACCTCCTAATATTTTCTACCCTGCCCCAACCCCTCACAGCAACATCAACGGCCCAGGCTGATCACAGCAGGAATAACCTACAGGGGACTCTCTCTACCAATTTAGTAAGACAAAATCAGGCTTAACCTTAGCTCATTAAGTTGAAAGGCCAGGCTGATTCACCCAGACCTTGCAACAACAAGACTTGTATCTCACCTGCCCTGTTCAAGTAGCACAATATCAGTCCAGCCCAGTTTGGCCAGGTGGTAGGCCACTGATGTTCCCACAATACCTCCTCCACAGATCACAACCCGGGCCTGGCTGGGCAGGGGGAGCAGCTGGGAGTCTCCGCTGACAGTCAGACACTGGGGGGAGGTCCAGAGGCCCCTACTGGCCAACCTGTACCCCGTCTGGGGAAGCAGCAGCCTGGGGAGCAGGACAGGGGACAGAGCCCTGGAGCTCCGCACACAGCTGCACATAGCTGTGTTTTCTGCAACCACACAAACAAACACACAGCCTTATATACACGTCAAATATTACTGGGTTAAAGATAACTTAAAATACGTAAACTTGTCAACACTGCAACTGCCACCATCTAGTTTCTATAGGATTACATGAAGATGCACTGCTGCTCCCAATTTAGATGCACAGTTTTGAAGACTGAATGCTATTCAAGTTGTTGTATTCAGCTCAACTGGCGTAGATCAACATTACAAACAATATTAAAGACATTACAACACAGACAAGGTCGGGGAAAGCAGCAAGGTTAACTTGCAGAAGTCCCTGAGCTATTACAATTGTATTACACACTATTGTTAGCTGTAAAGCATCGCTACAGTTCACCCTTAGCAGCACAGCTAGCTTTAGCTTGCGGTACGTTAGTAGCTTGTAAATTTACCGTAGAATTTAGCTTAGAGAATAAAGAGCATTGACTGACCTGTAGAGTAGTCAAGTTATCGAAAAAGTTTGGTGACATTAAGGGTGTTTCGTGTTAGTACGGTTAAAGTTGGCGTGAGTGTTAACGGTAGCTACATAGCTTAAGCTACCGAAGGGCTAGCTAATGTTGATTACTTTGCTAACTCTGTAGCTAAACGACAACCATGTTGACAACCTGCTTCTCTGCTGTTCCACTGACTGTTCACAACTACCGAAAACTCACCCAGTCAGCCGGGTCCAGTCGGAGTGATATTTGGATAAGTAAACAGCAGTGACAGCGGTATGACTCAAAGTGTTGTTTGGGTGCAGCAGTCACAATCAAAGTCAAACCAGCCTCAACAACGAGCGGCGCGTCCGCTCTCAACCTTCAAAATGAAGCTTCCGGTGTTTGGATCCAACGCAGCAATAAGTCAACTAGCAGGTAATTTAGAGTCAATTATTTACTGGCCTATCTAAAATAAGCATTCTTGAAGGATTTGGTTACTTATAAGATGAAGCTATTAAACTGCTTTATTTGTGCGAGCACGTTAATTTTCTACTCACATTTCCACAACATTAAGGAAACTGTTCTGTATGTGGCTGCACTGTGCTGTATTCACCATTGGGTCATCTCAGTGGTGTTGTTCATATTTTGTCTCATTTTGATTCAGTTCCTCTTTAAATATAGTAGGCACTGTGGCTGGAGGGTCTGGATTTAAACTGTCCTGTCAGTGGTTTTTCTAATCCGTGCCTTCCTCCTTGCCTGACAGACACTTGTAACTGTCTGATCACATGCTTTACATCTATTACTCAGTGAATATTCAACTGACGCATGACTATATTGCAAATATTGCAAACCAAATCACAATTGCAACAGCTGTCAGTAAAGTCACAATAACATATTTCCCTCAAAATCTTTTAATCAGGCCTCTTTGAAAACATGGAAACGTCCACTGAATTCTAAATATGTCTGATTTATCCTCTGAGCAGCACTGGGCTGAGCTTCAGTAACTGGCACCATGTTATACAGTTAAAATCCCCAGTTTGAAGTATGCAAAATATTCTTTCATCATTTAATTGAAGAACAGCTGTCTGTCCCTCTAAACTGTGGAAAAAAGTATTAGGTGTTAAGGATAAAAGATATGTACACACAGTTAAACCTGCAAGCTTATGAGTTGCCAAAGTCATTTTGCAAGTTCAGATTATCACACTCCCTCGTTTATGCGTGCTTAAGGGAAGTCTGCAGCATCAGATGGCTGAAAGTGTTCTGATAGGTTTTGTGGAGTCTGCATGAAAGGGAAAACAGTGACTATAGGTGGTTTTAAAAATGCCATAGAAGTACTGTTAATTTCTTCATGTTAAGTGGTCCAGCAAACAGTTATTAACACAACCATGTATCAGCTCTGGTGGTCAACATGGAGCACTGTCCAGTAGCATTTGAGCTCCTGTAATAACAGGGCCTCACCACTAGGGGGCACCAAAAGCCTGCTGTCACTGCTTTATAGTTCTAAGGTTCTGCTCTATCTGTTTACTTCTGCAGTTGCTGAAGTGTTTCATTAAAACTTTGCGAGACAAACAGGACCCCAACTTATTGTTACCAACAAAATCAAGAAATCCAAACTGCTCAGACAGGTAGCTCATATGAAGAAAGGAGCGTGCCAACTCCTCCTGCAGTGTTTTCAAGAAGCTCAAATTGAGAAGTTAACATAACTGAGTGTGTTATAATGGAGGATTTATTATCTTTTTCTGCCATAAGCAGGCAATTCAACTCTGATGGGAGACACACATTTTATTTTACAGTTATATTTTTTATTTTAAATAGAGTTTATCTCCACTTATCCAAGGACCTTCTCTACCAATTTCTAATTTATTTACTTGAGAAGGGAACAGATCGTCTAAATGTATGGTTGCACAATCCTCTTGATATTTTACTTGGAGGCAGAGGTTTAACAGGGATATATGAGGAAGGGGGACTAGTTCCAGAGAAACTGTACATGTTGTGTTCTGTGGATGGTCCAGAGCAGCTAGAGCTCTGTTTCTGGAAAGATATGTTGCCGCTAAATCTTAATACCAATAATCTCCACTGTATTTGAGAACACAGTCAGATCTCTCAATCTAAATCTGTGTGTATTCATTGTTATTCTTATTATTATTGGTAGTAGTAGTAGTGATATTGTTATTATTATTATTTAAATAGTTTAGGAAACGCTGACTGTCCAGCTATCAGTAATGACTGAAGAAACTGCCGTAACTTATAGGTTGAATATAGTGAATTAAGTTTTCATTATTCAGCCTCTAAAATGTTGCCTTATGTTTTGTTAACTTCACCAACAATGTTATTTTTTCATTACTGTTTGTCTCTCCTTCTCCAGGATTGCAAAAAGGACCCAGGCTAATTTTCATGAAACTTCTTGGAGAGGTGGAGCATGGTCGGAGGAAGAATCCAGATCACGTTCTTTAAAACTGCATGATGGCGTATTGGCCTTAGTAGAGGCCTGAGCTCCTCTTGAGTGCACTTCTACTGAGAAAGTGAGAAACGTATGAGCATTTATGAATAGACTATCAACATTTATAAGCACCTCACAGCTTCAGAGAAAGGACAAACACCAGCCAAAGGAATTTTCCCCAACATATCCACTCTAGTGTTGGTTTTATCAGCAGCTTCCGATCTACAAAAGCAGTCATTCCATAAAATCTAAAAGTAACCTACTGCCATTTCTGGCTGTACTAATACTGAGAACAAAACACCTCAAGACACAGAATCATTTGCTGCATGACAAGCCACGAAGGAAATAGTAAACTATATTTATTGAAATGTTTAAATTAAGCTATTTACAATTTCTCATAGTGGGCAACAAAAAACATTTCACACCAGTACAGTTCAAAGGCCCAATACTGTTTGTACATACAGGAATCTGGCATCTGGACACAAGAGCCAGTCATAGATGATGCTCACTTGTGCATAACATTAGTTTGGCAGACACATCAGTAACATATTTGCATGACTGTTCAGTGCTCTGTAATCTTTTAATTCAGCTTTTATTCAAATTTGCCCCAGTAGCCCCGTGTCAGCTGTGTTTTGGCACAATCAATAGGTGTTGGCTGTGTTTTTACATGTTTTCATTTATTTACCACAAATCACACACAGTTTACTTTACATGACTGCTGACATCACCCTCACCATAAAGCCAAAACATGAAAAAACGCTGCTTATATTCTTTAACAGAAGCCAAGTTGTGTTCTTTGCCACATGATGTTGGTGGTATAATAAAGAGAGAAGATCTTAAATATTTTCAACAGACTCCCCAAAGAAAGAAGGAGACATGTAGGATCTTCACACATAACCCTTTACAGAAATGAACCCCAAAAATATAATAATATCATTTAGGGGATCAGAAAAGCATTTGTTTCTTTTATTGTTGATTTATCAGGTAGATTGCATTTCAGAGTAAAATAAATCCTGTTGTATCCCGTATATGACTGCAAAGATTGACCAAAAAGAGCTTCTTTTAAAGGTCATACGGCTAAAGACTTGGGAAACTCATCAAACCCACCAAGGGGCACAGATTGGGAAGTCTGAACAACAGGTTTCGGGGTCGGGGCAAATTTTCTAGTCCCTCCACTGGAGGATCAAGCTGGATGGGAGTTAATACAAATAAATCAGATGAAAAACAGAAACCACCATTCTTATGTCTTGGAACAACAAGACCTCCAATGGGAGTCTCAGACTTCAGGCTTAAATTTTGGTAATTTTCTTCAATTCAATAAGTCAGCTTTGATAACATGAGTTACTTTGACGTGTCAGTGATTGGAATACAAAACAAGATCAGTGAAAACACATCAGGAGATAGTTTTATGGCAGTGGTTGAAAGGTGCACTAAGCTAAACCTCATTCTGTTGGGTGAGGTCTTCTGACACGCTGTTGAACTCAGTGGCCCGAGTGCTCATCCCCAGGTACTGCTTCAGGAATTCACTGAAACGTTTTTGGTTGTTCCACTTGCGGGCTGACTTTCGAATGCCGATGAAGCCACCATACCTCTTCTGGTACGACCTTCCCGGGGACATCAGTTTCCTGTAGTCATGCCTTCCTTTGATGAAGCCGCCAAACCTCTTGGAGACGCTCAGCCCTACGTCACCGTGTCCTGCTACCGCATCAGAATCCCCCCCTTCCTGCCTTGCCTCGTCGTCCTCATACTCGTCTTCAAGAGACAGGGCATTCTGGGAATTGTAGGCAGTGTTCAGCTGACCGCCCTTGCCACCTAGGTTACTCTCATCCACGCCGAGTGCCCGGGTCACATGATCGAACCTCTGTAATGCAACAGGCAGGGACAGACCTCCCTCCATGTTCTCATCCTGCTCAGGAAACAAGGCCTCCACCTCCTCCTGAGATCTTTTCCGCATGGCACCACTGAGAGAGGAGAGGGGTGACGACAGCGCTTTACGACAGAAGTCCCAGGAGAAGGATGGTAAAACGTTGCCTTCACACTCAAGGAGACACACCTAACAGAAACCGAGACAAGAGATTCTCTTTATTTTCTTTATAAAATCTTTTCAGATTAATTTACTTGCATTATTAAAAAAAAGAAAGAAAGATAGACTTCATGATGGGCAGCTGTTAGTTTGCGATCACTGTTGCTCTAAGAAGATTAGACAGATTACAATGACATGCTGTCCACATATTTGTGTTCCTCTCAGAATCAATAATTAGCAGACATTAGCGTGCCAACACGTTTGCCTAAGATAGTGAAAATTATATCTGTTCATTAACAATTTCACTGTGAGCTTAGACTGCATTTAAAAGATGGACGTAGCAACTGTGACATCACCCTCAAGTTTGGCCGTCGACACCTTAGTCTTTTGAAACCAGATGTAATGAGCGAGGGGTGGATCTGAATGAGACATTATGCAACCTGTCAATCACAAGGTGTCCCCACCCTTAAACATACTCTGCTTTATCATCATTTTACTTTGAATGGGACCATAATTTCCAAAGTGAACACAATCCTGGATTGAAGGACACTTGAAACTAGCGATTGTGATCATAAATGCGTTAGGAGAACGTTAATAGATCAAAGAAGAAGAAGGATCATTTTCTCTTAGACTTCGAAACAATCTCTTTTCCCCTCAACCATAGGAATAGCCAACTGCTGGCTGTTTGAAAGAATACAGGTTTAAGGCACTTCAGCGTTGACTTCACTCATCAGACCTGAAGACTACGTTCACCTTTTATACACATCCTATGAATGTGAGCGAGTTAACATGCCAATATTAGCATTTTGCTCACAGCAAATGTTTACAGCAGCAACCAAAGGAAACTGATGGAGAAGGGCAGATACAGTAATAAGATGGATGACCTAACAGCTGTAGCAAGAAACCCAGAATCACAGCGATTAATACATTTTTTCTGATTCTGATTCTGAAAACTAGGTTGCATGTCTTAACTCAAGTAGTTGGGAAACTGCTTTTTGTATGCTTCTGGGCCCACAGATCAAAATGTATTGGAACAGTGTCTAATGTCCATTTTTCAAAAAACTAGAACACACAAAAGTGAAAAACAACAACACAAAGAAAAAAAAGCAAAAAATGAAGGAATCAAAAAGAACTCAATCAAAGACTGAAAATGCAAGGCCCGAAAACGCTTTTTACTCTCCCTTTCTTTTCTTTTATTAAAAACAAAAACACACGCCAACGGCAAGCAGCGGGGAGCCTCACCACCGCGCACCCACAACGACAACAGCACAAATCCCCATCACAGCAACGGCAACCTGGATCCTTCGACTTGGAATGTGCACACCCTCCACCGGCAGCGCGCCGGCTCCGGCCCACACACACAAAAAACAAAAACAAATGGAGAAAAAATCCGGAGACGAAAATGTCAGTAGACGTGAATGTAGCCCTCTAAGGGAAGCCCGACCAGACAAGGGTGACCCCTCCAGGGGCCCCAAAGCAGCTGCCATAAACCACAGCCCACACCCCCCACCCCACCCAGAACCAAATGAGGAATAAATAATGGATAGATAAAGAATGGATAGATAAAGAATGGATGGATAGAACACATGCTGTAGGGTTCCTCCTTCACTCATTCTTAAGACAGAAAGTACCAAAATCAATCAATATTACAAAGGAGATTGATTAGATCTCCTATATCTTTCACTTCAATGCTTCAATGGGTGGTGTGTGTGTGTGTATTTGTGTGTGTGCGTGCGTACAGTCATCCTTCCATCACTTCAGAACACATTACATTGACATTGAAGCCTACCCTAACCTTATCTTTGCCTGACCTTGATCCTTGTGTTAATATAGCGATACTCTAATGCTAACATCTAAATTTGTATTTTTTTTTTTTGGGGGGGGGGGTGTATATTACAGAGTAAGACTGTGGATGGTCACAGTGCATGGAGTACTACGATGCTTTTGGCGCATGAGTTACTGTTTCCATGACGCAGGCTAATTATGGAAGCTCTCGTCCCTTATTGATTTACATGTAAAATGCTTTTCATNAGCGCATCAGTTACTGTTTCCATGACGCAGGCTAATTATGGAAGCTCTCGTCCCTTATTGATTTACATGTAAAATGCTTTTCATCGAGGAAGAAGAGATAAAAGAGAGGAGAAAAAATTTAAATAATCAAAGGAGGCACTCATTCCAAGAACGGGGCGGTAAGTCAGTGGATGTCTTTAAGGAGCCCAATTCAACAGGCTCACTTGAGGTCCCTTTAAATACCACTGTGACCTAAGTGCCTAATGCTACCAGTTCATAGTTTTATGTTTTATCTGCACTTCTTCTTGTGTGCTCCGTGCAAAAATGTCGGCAAAGCAGACATGTCATTAACCAGAGAGAAACAACCACAAGGCAACAGCACAGAGAGGAGAAACACACATTTATCCCCAGGAATCAATTAGCCACAACAAATTAAATTTCAAATGCCAAAAGGGTAATTTGTTGAGTCAGAGACAGTGAGGGAGCAGTTCAGAGGATGGGCTGAACGCAGGAGGGTGGGGTGAGGAGTTTACACTTGTTTTATCACCAAACAAAAAGAGTCCCAGTGGAGACTGTTTTGTGTGAGTTTGATCATTCATGTGACTGCAGTATAGTTTTGTCTGGATGAAATGTTGGCTTCTTGATATTTCAGAGCGTGATTTATTTTTGCTTTATTCTCGGGGTTAAAGAAAAAAAATTCTTTTGCTACAAGTTCCTTTTTGAGACTGTAAATTCACAACACAAACAGTCACTTTTTCCCTTTTGATGTTGCAAATGATGCAAATGTGTTGCTAATAAATGTAGCGCTAGCTCTGTTTATTCCCATCGTCCCAGTAATCCGTGACATTGGAGCAATGAGCCAACATGAACAGTTCCTCAACACTGAAACTGAAAGAGCTAAATGGAATTCAGCCATCAAACAAAATAGTTTTAATGTTTACATCTAATACACCAGGTCTCATTAACTTTTAATTGGATTTGTCTTTGCTGTGGCCCGTGTGTGTGTGTGTGTGTGTGTGTGTGTGTGTGTGTGTGCAGAATCCTCACCACGGTGTTGAAACTGAGCTGTTTGGGCAGGATGTTGCTGCAGGACAGGCAGTCAGCCTGACAGTCACTCTGTGCTGGATTAAACAGGCAGAGCAGCAGCAGAGCCACCGCGGTCTTCATGGTCCCACCGTCTGCTGCACAGCACAGGACACACAAAACACACACGTTTAGTTTGATGCAGCCATTGAAAAAAAATCTTTTAACTGCCTATAAGTCAGTCGTATCTGACTTTGTATTTTGGCACATGACTGGTCCGTCAAACACAGAGAGTCTATTGAGGTTTGCTCAACTTAAAGTAGATTTAAAACACTTGTGGAAACGGACTGAAATGAAACTCAGACTTTTCTTTGCCCATGAAAGTAAAGTGTCTTTATATGTTGTATCGTATTACTTATGGCATCCACTAATGGATTCAAACATGATGTGGGTTTTGTTCCATGTGAGTGTTTATCTCTAGAACTTGGTAGATGGTCTGTATGTCAATGTGTGTGGATACAGCACTGAAATATCATCGCCTTTCAAGCTGATGTGTTATAGAGCAACATTATCTTTCATTTCGAGTCATATTTTTGGACTTCTGGCAAATTTACATTTAATATTAACTCTTCTTTCTCTTTTTATCTTTGTCTCCACTGTGTTCTCAACTAACTCCTGATGGAAATATGTGGCTCCTAAATGTGGTGCTCTGCTCACCTGCTAGTTGCTTAACTGCTCCTGTCTGCCATTTGGTGGTGAGCAAGAAGTGTACAGAGTGTTTCTAAAGATTTGTCTGTGAAAACGTCAAAAATTATGTCATGTAAGTGGTAAAAAAAAAAATGAACTAGTAGTTTTGTGCCACTTACTGTCATTGTTATTTCATACATTAGATGATTTTTGATAACTAATAGATTTATAAAATTACATTGATCTTTCTTGACTTTAGAGGGCACATGTGACAGAGCTTTGCAAGCTGTTTCCTGCTGCTAAATCTTAAGGGTCATACTTTCTGCATCTATGTTTCTGCAATAGGGACACATGACATGAATGTGTGACCACATGGAGCTTCAAACAAATGCTTGTTTTATGAAGAGACTGTACAAGGAGCTTCTCCGTCATCCACACCTTTATAGTGTATCATTAAAAGAGCTGCGACCGTCTGCACCAAAGTGATGTATAACCATTGCGGTATAAACAGAGCTGTGTGCATGTCCGCCATCCACTTTTAAAGTCTGTATGAGTCATGCAGAAACCATGAATCGGCCTTAATGCATTAGACACTTTCAGCTCGATCATACTCCCTTGTGGTCGTGCACGTAGACTGCTGCACACGCCACAGGTTGCAAGTTGTTCTTTTTATGCTGCTTTCTAGTCTGCTTGGCATCTCCTTGGAGGATGTGTTCCAACAATGTGCAGTAAATCGGTGTCTATGTATTCCCGTGTGCAGTTGGTATCTTTGTTGCGTAGTGGCAGGGGACAATACACAGAGCTTTTGTACACTAACTGATGACACATTTTATCCTACTCAGACTACAATGCATTGTCGTGAATGTGGAAAGTAGAAAACATAGACTGGATCAAAGATGGACGTAGCAACCGGCCCTGAAAAATGAAGCCAACCCGGAAGTGTCAAAAACGTATATATCATTACGTCCACTAGCTGCTGGCTCCAAAAAGCCCTGGCTCCCATAGACTTGAATGCAGTATTTCATGATCACAGATCATGAAATACTGCATTCCTACAGCTCAGGATTTTTTTCTTATTAGTTTTCATGGTCAAATCCAGAGATCAGGTGGCCAATCTGAAAATAAGTCAATACTGAATTTTTAAAAAATCGTCAAAATTTTGCGGGGCAAGGGGCGTGGCTGGCTTGATTGACAGTCGGCAGCGACGATGCAGACGAAGCGAGCAGAAGGTGGTAAATGTGGGCGGGCAGAGAGGGCCTGCCTCTTAATCCATCTGACCAATCGCTGCTCCTATGGCTCCGCCCCCCTCCGACGATTTTTGCGTCACTGGCTCCAAAAATCCAAGATGTCAACCAGGAAGTAGCAAAACCCTGGCTTCATTTTCTCAGTGTAGAAAGCAACGGGTGACGTCACAGTAGCTACGTCCATCTTTTATACAGTCTATGGTAGAAAACTAGCCTAAGAATGTAAACGTAAATAAACGAAGTAACGTAACGAAAGTAAACGTAAAATGAAATCTCATCTTACTTTTGATAAGAAAGCAAGCAAATGCATTTCATAAAAACACTGAAATGTTCCTTCAGAGTTTGTTTCAGTAATGTCAGTGACCCAAACATGCATGCAATTACCAGTCAAACATTAATTAGCAGATTATTTGTTCTTACTCACACAATAAAAGTGATCGGAGGTAAAGGTCACATATCATTATATTACATGAGTACAATTACTCTTGTATCGTCACTCAATATTTTGGCATATCATAGAGACAATATAAAGGCATTCATAACACATATAGGCAGAGACACAATTAAGATGGAACAATGAAGACAAAAAAATGGCACAACTGAATGAAGTGAAAGAGACAGCAGGGATAAATGAAACCATGGATAACACAGCTACAACACAGAGGGAAATAAAATGTTTTGACCTTATTTTGGTAGGAACAGCCCAGTCTGGTGAGTCTGACGTCAGAAACACAACCCGAGTTTTCATCTCATTAAACAAACTCGTTAACTCCTTTAATTGATGCCTCAATTAATGCCTCTGGCAACAAACTGAGTCATTGTTTCTCGCCGACAAACACACACACTCAAACTCACAAAACATGCACAGCACACGTAGACGCACACACTCACACAAACATACATACATGCGTTCTCACACCTTCCGTCCACACCGTGCACGTAGTCCAACACACCGACACACATGCACCACCACACAGCTGCGGCTTGTCAATATCCATTAAACTGACGTGGCAGAAAGTAAAACTAATTTGTCTTTCAAACACTTTAATAACGTCTTAGGAATTTGGAATTTCTTCAGAGTAATTAAAAACTGATAAAAGTGTAACTGCGCTACAGTCCGTTCCAATCTCTACCTACACATAAAACAGCAACCTTGCAAAATTAATCAGAATTAATCAGATTTGTGTGGAAAAAAAAATAACTGTCAGTTTTTCTTTTTTTTTTTCCAAAGTCTGATAGAAAAGAGGATGGGTTTATCAGTCAAGGACAAAAGAAGAACATTTCAGGTTGGAATATGAGGGCGGGACTCGATTGGCAGATGGCAGACAAACAGCTTGGGTGCCTTCATCTGGCCACAACGTAGCTCATCCTCCATCTTCTTGTCATTGACTCTGTTGACTTGGCTTCCAAAAACAGGGGGATAATGCATGAAGCGGCTGTCACAGCTTCACATTTCTGTTCACTCCTCAGGTGTGGCCAAATACATCAATATCACAAATATCAACACCAAGTCAGTGATGTTCACCCTCTAGGAACCACGACTGTATCAGAATGAGACCATGAGCCACCACCACTGAGTCAAACTGTCTGTTGTGAAAGACATATAGGGTTAATAATAGTTGTTTGCTAATTAGAGTTCAGGACAACTGTCTACCCTGTCAGAATGGTTTTCATAATAATCTTAACTTTGATTCAAAATGACCCACGGAGCATGTTTGGACAGCTGTCACTGGCGGTTGAAGGAGCAGTGCCACATCTGAGTGTTAACACAGGGAACAGCCAACTTCAGTGGCAAAGTTAAGTAAGTTCCTGTCGTGACTCTCAGGATATTACAGATACGTATGCAAGCGCAGGAAGGCTGGAACAAGTCTTTATCTATTTTTCTGTGCTGTTAAAAGCACTGTAAAATGAAGTGTCTCGACAACTGATCTTCACTGTGGTCTTATATTAAAGTCTGCCAGGTTCTCTTGAGAGCCGTTAAAACCCAATTACTCTGCTTTTAATTAACTGATTAACCACTAAATAAACCAGTTAATTAAGTCATTACTGTGTGGCGCTGCAATGAGGCGCTGCTGATGGAGGTCTCACAGTCCAGCACATGATGATTACGACCATCTTTCAGATGAAAAGAAACCCCTGTCTCAGTATTTTCTCAAGCTTCACACCAAAAAGTTAGACTATGCAGAGTCATCCATGTGTTGTGGGAACAGCAGCACGGAGTCTATAGTGTGTCTTTGAATGTATAGAGGTGTGTAACTGTGACAGCTTTCTGGAACTAGAAAAAGCAGTAAACATGGTGACCATCTTCAAACTGCTCATTAAAATGTATGTCTAGTCAATCATTAATAAATGCTGTAAACGTTAAAGAAGAGCTTTACTGTCTGATTCATGCTCTTGTCATGCAGTAACACACAACTCTCACTGAGCACAGCCGTTAAAAATTCTCAAACTGTCTCACACAAACTGTTATCAGCTGTCTCCACCATTATTTTCCTCCATTATTGCCATTTTCTCATCAAGAATAGGAAATATAAAATAAATTACTTCCAGCCCGAAGCACGACTTAAAGCCGGATTATTCACGCCCGGCTGAACGGAGAAGTCATGTGCATCCGTCTTGGAGTGCATTTTTATTTTTAAAAGCTGAACTGCAGATTTGTGAGTGACTTACGTAATAACCACAATATAGTTAGATTCACGTCAGCGCGCCATGTCGCCGCCTCTGCTCGACTGTAACTTTCTACTTTGTGTTTACTCTGTAATCCTGGACATGATGCAGTTGTGCATCATGAACACAAGAACACAAAGAAATCCCTAATGGATGTATTAAGTAGTGCAGGGCTGTGACAGTTCATGTGTTTAATACTATAGCCAGCCCAATAATTATAACATCTGATGATATGATTGCATTAAGCTTTATGTCTGGTAATAACTGCTCCCAGTGTATTACAGGGACTATTACAGAGGACAGTAAAATTGTGCAGACATGCTCCTAAAAGTACTTAGGCATACATATATGAATGAACTGAAAACCTGCTGAGGGATGATTCTCATATTTTACATTCTGAGAATTACCTTCAACCCTCTGGAATAAGAAAATGCAGGCTCTCCACATGCCCTGTCACATTTCTATTGTTTTAATTCTTTTAAATATGCTTAACTAGTTTACTCGTACAGCATATGTGCAATACAGACTGATTGTGAGGGCAATGTT